AATAGAAATGACAAGATGTCTTTTAGCCGATTCAGGTCAACCTCACAGCTACTGGGCAGAAATAGCCCTGATTGCAAATTATCTACAAAATCGTATGCCTACAAAACCCAATGACAAAACACCATACGAATTATGGAATACAGCACAAATTCTTTAATCCGGACTCGTCGAGACTTCGGCGATTCTGGATTAGAGTTTTTTTCCGGATTATAGAACATCAATTTAAATCTGTTAAAATGGCATGTAGAAATTATAAAATAAAAAATATGAAATCGTAAATTATGAAATAAAGAGCAATTATGATTTATAGGGTATCAAAATTTAGAAGAAAAAAAAAAGGCTTAATATTTATTTGTTTACTTTATTAAACATTTCTTTCAATCTAAGTTGTTTAAGTTGCTTCGTTTTATGTGCTAATACTTTCTCATTAATTCTATAAACAAACATAATTTCCTGTTCAGTTACAAAATTCCGCTGTTCAAGTCCTGTAATTGCTGTGCCGAGAATACCGACTAACTTGTCAAACGAAATTTTTTCGTTTTCACTAACCTCTCTGTCACTTTCTTCACGCCTTTATCCATTTTTTTGCCACAATTCCACTTTTTGTTTGATGGACATCGAAACATGCTTCGCTTTGTAGATCCTTTGGCAGCTGCAGAATCGGAAACTCTTTTTGACATAATCTAAAGTTCAAGCTTACTTTTTATAAAATTGCTCTAACAGTCTGCAAAAAATAATAAGCCAGATCCAATTAGAAGATTAAGGAACAACGCAATCTGCAACATTAACTGAAATAGATAATTAGATAATTTTAGCCTAGCTATACCGTCCGTTATACTTTTAACGCGTATGCGTAAACGTATTATGTGCATGCGTACACGCTACTCACGCGCAGAAAGTTTGTAGCTTTGAGGCCGGATTATAGATCATTCCGGATTATAGACGTCCGTATTAAAGACTTTGTATTGTAACAAGAAACTCAGCCTCTCTCATCTGAGCACATTCGAGTGCAAAATCTAAAAGGGGTAAACTGGATGATACTGTTGTATAAGGAATACTCGTCGGCTACGACAGCAGAAGTAAAGACTACAGCATTTTATTTCCTGGAGACAAAAATCACAATAAGTCGATCTGTACGATTTATTGAAGACACTGGAACTAACGAGCCTGTAAGCGTCTTTTTAAACCAGGATAAAGAAAATGCTAAGGAAGAAAGCTCAGAACAGGAAGAAATAAAAATTGAAGAGCCCGAAAAAGAAGGACTATCAGAACCCGAAGAAGAACCTTTAGATCGAACAGAATCATAAAAGGTAAACCTCCTGATCGCTACGGATATCTTGCAAAATATGCAGTCTCTCCCGAAACCTGGAAGGAAATTCAAACTTTGGAAGAAAATGAAAAAACGAAAATAGCTGACAGCTGTTCAAGAAGAAATTAATTCACTAGAAGAAAACAATACTTGGGATTTAGTTGATTTACTATCAGGAAGAAAATCAATAGGCTGTAAATGGTCTTTCGAAACCAAGCTCAATACAGAAGGAAAATTTGAGAGATATAAAGTAGATTAGTCGCAAAAGGATTTAGCCAGAAGTTTGGATCTAACAATGATGAAACCTTTGGCTCCTGTAGTAAAATACACAACTCTACAAGTTTTCCTATGTGCAGCTTTGTGTAAAAACATACAGATATCAAAATAGTTTTCCTTCATGGAGAACTAGAAGAAGAAATTTACATGACTCAACCTGAAGGATACTCAAAAGATGAAAATGAAAATAAAGTTTGCAAGCTGATTAAATCAATATATGGATTAAAACAAGCCGCTAGAGCTGGGAATCTAAAAATTGGAAAATACTTCTAAACATATCATTTAAACAAAGTAAAGCAAACCCATGCTTTTTTAAAAAAAAAACATAAATAGAAAATTCTTAAATATAATATTATATGTAGATGATATACTTATAAGGCAATGAAAGAGAAGAAGCTTTATTGGAAACAATCCAACCACTAAAAGCTAAAGTGGAAATCAAAGACCTAAGAGAAGTCACCTACTACCTCAGCATAAACATTGAAAGATCTAAAGATGGAGCCTTAGCCATAAACCAAAAGAACAAAATCGAAGAAATAGTTTAAAAATTCGGACTTCGAGATGAAAAACCAACATATACGCCAATGGAAAAAAAAAAAAAAACCCTACTGCAAACTAGAAACTGGAGATGATCTTCTAAAAGATAATACAGAATATAGACAAGCAGTAGGGGCTTTATTGTACATGGCAAATAATTAGTAGACTAGATATAGCATGCACCATCAAACTACTGAGAGAAGAAGAAACAAAAATCCTCGGAAAATTGATTGAAATACTGTCAAGAAAGTCTTTCGATACATAATACAGCTAAAGACTTGAAGTTGGTCTTTACTAAAATTCAAGAACCTATATTAACTGCATATTCAGATGCAGATTGGGGATATGACAGAACAACTAGAAAATCTATTAGCTAATACGTATTCAAACTAGGAAATAACTAGCAACAAAAGTCAAAACTGTATTGTATTATTACAGAAGCAGAGTATATTGCAGCAGCTAATACAGCTCAAGAAGCATAATGACTGTTAAATTTACTTAAAGATCTAGGACTAAGACAAAATCTACCAATTACTCTCTATGAAGACAACAAGTTATGTATCAGACTTTCACAAACAGGGAAAAATAGCTCCAGAACAAAACATATAGACGTCAAATACCACTATTTGCATGAACTCAGTGGCGTAGCTAGGGTGAAGCAAGAGGGCACATCTGTCCCTGGCCCAAACTGTATCAGGGGGTGCCAAACTAATGTTACGAAATTTTTGAAGGAAATGTTTTACATTCTTCGCACACAGAAAGAGGCGTAAAATCTTCAATTGTCTCAGGGTGCTGAAAACTCTAGCTACACCTCTGCGTGAACTTCAACAAAAGGGGATCCTAAGACTAGACTACTGCAGAAGCTCCAACATGATTGCAGGTCTGCTCACCAAACTGCTAGGCAAGCCTGTGTTCGAGAGACTTCAATCGCTGCAAATGGCAATGCTGTCCATCAAGTAGGGTTATTGGTATGCAAATGGTGATGAACAGTCGCCAGTAGCGTGAAAAACAGTGTAATCTGGGCACCCTGCAAAGGATTTAATTGTGTGACTCGCTTTTTCTTTTCTCACTTGAGAAAAGGACAGTGATATAACTCCCTCTCACAAAATTCTCTATTGATATATATTATAAAAAAAATCTTAATTTATTATTATGTAAAAAAAATGTGTTTGTAATCTTGCAATTTGAATCTATAACCTCTTTTTTTTTTTTTTTGATTAATCCTTTTACAAAACTATGATGACGCTGTGCTGGATACAAGGTAAGAGAAATTATTCTAATCTCTACTTTGGTAATTTGTTGTAAAAATGTTTACAACATAACCATCCTATTTCAAGCTCATATCATAAGAATATGAGATTTGGTACTTATGTACTTTTCCCTTGTGAAAGTTGGCAGAAATCTCACCAATCTCAAACTTGCAGCAGTTATTTTGGTAGACGTTTGGAAGGAACAAACAGTGTTTTATTTAATTAGAAAATGAACAGATAAACTGCCTTATCGAGGATTAATCAGGGTTGAAAAAAAAAAAGCTTTAATTTGCCGAACATGTTAGGCAAAGTACCTGATTTTATTTTGTTATTGTAGGTTTAGTTATATACCTGATTATTACATTGATGAACAATTTAACTGCTTTTTTTTATATTAGTTTTATTATTAATTTGGTCTTCTATAATAAAATCAGTTAAGAGCTCTTTAGATCCTCCTTTTTCATTATCCCAGTAAATTCTCGGAAAAACAAAACTCTGGTTTAAAATATATAACCTTATACAACACATAATAAACTGAAAATAAATATGTAGAATGAGGAACTGATTTTTAAATAAATCATTAGCCATTAGGTAACTTTCATAAATTATTCAGTAATTTTTCAAAATAACTCATCAAATTCGAATCAGTGATATCTACAATACTGAAAAGAATTAGAGAAGAAGGGGTGCACATAACAAAGAGGTTTTGCTCTAGGTCTCTAGTTTTGTAAGATAAATAATTAATAGTAAAGATATATAATTAAATATTCCTTAAACTTATAGTTCAGTATTAAGGTTGGTATATTTTGAATCTTAAATCATAAATCTCCACTAGCAGATGGGAACACTTCAAAGTTGCCTGCTTCAGCCCACTCCCATGTACAAGAGTCATAACCTATGACTCTTGATAAAAAAATTAAACATATTGTTACGAATTTTGCATTTAGTACAATTATAATTAAACTTTTACTTTAATTTAGCTAATTTTAGTAGAATTATAATTAAAATTGTTGCATTTCCCTGTGCAATGCAGCTCAAGACAAATTATAAGAGTAAAAATACAGGAGAACGTGCATTTAACATTCAGTAAAATGATATCTCAATAATTTATATTTAAATTGAATAAATGTAATTGACTACTATGTTAATTGTAACCATAATTTCCTCCTCTTATTGTTTTCCAGAAATCTAGAGAAACAGAAATTGCTAGAAATATCTCGCGACCGGTTGAAATCTATAAAATGTCAGAGAGAGCACTTCTCAGTGCAGTTGTTTAGTTAGCTGTGTTATTGTTGCGAATTTAGCGCGAGATCGGATTAGATTTCTCTTTAAATGCGCTGTGCATTGTGTTTTATTTAATGATTTTAGTAGTTTGAAGTATAACTACTGATTATAACTGTGTGATATTGTTAAAACTTGTACGAGTATCTCCGAGGAAAATTCCTAAGTTATAATATATTTCTTTTGATAAGAATAAATTTTATTAATCAATTTTAAGACTTGTGCGATGAACCCGTACACACGCAACAATATTGCTACCTTAAATAAAGTAAAAGGGGGAAATATGAGCCATCGAATACTCCAAGGAATGGTGATTTGAGATTTAAAAAAAAAAAAAAAAAAAAAAGTTGCACAGTATGTAAATGCACTTTATTGGATTTTATGCTTATCTGAAATAAAAATGGTTATATTTTATTATGCAACAGACAGCTTTTGAAGCCATGAGTAAATCCCGCTGTGAATCGCTTTTTCACTTTATGAAGCTTCATAAAAAAATAGAGCTATCAACTCTCCTTAATTTCCCATTCTTCTCAGTCCAAAGCACCTTTACACATAAGACATCATATAAATTTATTTACACTTTACTTTTTGAATGTAATTTTTTCATACAATTCTTTTTGATACTTTAATACTTGTTCAGTATCTTTTAATGACAAAACATCAGACATCGAGACCCATTTCAACACCTTGTCATCTGGCATAAAACAGAGATTATACATTTCCTCTTCTTTAATTCTTATAATAATTTCAAGAGTTTTCTTAAATGCTTCATCAGCAGTCTTACATAACGGGAAAAGTTTAGCATTCCATAATGCTGGCTTACTACAGCCAGAGGAAAAAATATTGTCATCAGGTCTTATAAATTGTTTCAACTTTTTTCCAAATATCTGAATTTCTAAAGAATCTTTCCACTTGAATGTTTTTTTAATATCATCACTAATTGCACAAGCAATACACACATACCCATCCATTACTGACACAGTATGCATTAATGTATTTTCTGGAATTTGGAATGATAACCTTTGTACAAAAACTCCATGAAGCTGTACATTGCTGATAATACAGTTTCTTCCAACATCCACAGCAATGTTAATGTCACAGCATTCTATAACAGCTGATTCAGGCACCAAGGACAAAGGATGAATTATTGAATGCATCACAGTTCCTTCAATATACAATGGAATAATATTATTAACAGATAAAGTACTCACAGAAAATCTGGATATAGGGAACATTTCAGGAAATTTATTTTTGCAAGATAAACTATCAATGTATTCTTTCATTGTACCTAAATGATGAAAATTTGAGTTTTTTAGCACTAAAATAGACAATTTCAAACCATATAAAGTCCGATATAAAGCGGATCTCGTTGATGCCAAATCTTCACTGGTAATTTTCTCTACTATATAAGATGGGCTAGCGGTCAAGCCCAATGGCTGAAGGAAGTCACCATAAGAACTCAACTCACATTTAAGAGGTTTATTACTTCTGTAGAAATTCAGTAATTTGGAAATAACACTATTGTCAAAGAAAAAGGCACTGTCACTGAATACAACATCTTGCATTTCATCACCTCCTGAAACAATAAATAGACAAAAGGTTTTCATAAAATAAATAACTGATTTTAAAAACATACTTTAATAATACTATGTTATCTCATGCAATCTTGCATTTATTAACCTACAAAATTAAATAAGACTGTTAAAAGATTGAACAGAAAAAAAAAAAAAAAGACCATGGCTTTAATAAATATATAAATCTACAGGCATATATTTAAATAAAGATTAAAATGGTAGGAGTTACTTTATTCTCCCATGTGTGCTTTTGTAGTGCAAGTGGTTAGCACATCCAAATGATGACTGGAAAAAACTGGAAGATCTATTTAAATTTTGATGATTTTTAATGTTTTATGATGCAATATACTGTACACTAACACCCATAATAAGATGTTCTGCACAATAATTCACCACCACCACCAGAATTTTGTAAACCATTTCTTAGTTGCATTTCAAACAGGACAGAATAGGAATTATAACATTCCCCCATACATACTTTCATGGTATAAGTAATTACAAGGTTACCACTCAAACAGGAGAATGAAATTCACTGACTTTTCCAGGTTTTTCAGGTGTGTTTTAAGAAAATTCCAGTCTATTCGCATAATGCACGATGGATGTGCTTAGAGGTAAATTAATCATAGTACCATTTGAAAACACAAAAATTTGCGCTTTACACATGACTTACATATCCCCAAAGCATTATTATTATAACTATAATAGGAGTTGTTTTCTCCACTGAAGATTGATATCAGAATCTGCCCAATCAGTATTTAAAAATGTCTTTGTCAGCAGACAGTTTGCAGCTAAACAAAAGAAAGAAATCTATTTAATGATTTTTTAAATAAATCCAGGTTTTTTATATTTATTTAGCAGCATACATAAGCAAAAAATATGTGCATTCAATTTCGTCATAGTATGTCATCATACTGCTAGAATTAATTTCAGGATTATGCCAGAGAAAATTTCCTGAAATTTGAAAGTATTACAGTACAAAGTCTTTAATCCGGATGTCCATAATCCGGAATGATCTACAATCCGGACATCAAAGCTACAAACTTTCTGTGCATGCGTAAACACATAATGCGTTTATGCATGCGCATAATACCTTTACACATGCACATAATACGTTTGCGCATGCGTGCTTAATGTATAACGGACAGTATAAGCTAGGCTAAAATTATTTAATTATCTATTTCAGTTAATGATGCAGATTGTGTTGTACCTTAATCTTCTAAATGGATCCTGATTATTATTTTTTGCAGACAGTTAGAGCAATTTTATAAAAAGTAAGCTTGAACTTTCGATTATGCCAAAAAGAGTTTCCAATTCTGGAGCTGCCAAACGATTTACAAAGCGAAAGTATGTTTCGAATTCCATCAAACAAAAAGTGGAATTCCTGCAAAAAATGGATAAAGGCATATCCTTTGTTTCTCTAACCATTCTGAAATCTGTTTATCAATTTCACGCTGCTCTGCAGGGGGACATCGCAGCGTGCAATTAATTGGAAGTTGCTCTGTCAGCACTATCCTTATCTTCAGGGCAGATGTTTTTATTTTATTTGGCTTATAATTCCTTACTAAATGTAGTATTTCATCTCGATGTACTCTGTCTTTGATATTATTTAAATCAAATTCCTCATCATTATAAATATCATGAATACACATCAAATACACTCATGTCCATAAATTAAGGATAATGCAAAATCAGGCAAAGGAAGAGTTAGAAGCAAAACAAATTTGACTTATTTGTAAAGCTTATTTATTAAACAAAAGGTAAAGAGCAAAAAAAGATGCTATATGTTTGATATTATTAAAAAAATTAGCGATTTTTTCTCCCTGGAGCAAATTACAAATAACACCTATTTACAAAAAACAATACAGTCAAAAGTCGTTAATCCGGACTCGTCAGGACTTCGGCGATTCCGGATTATCGATTTTTCCGGATTATAGATCATCAGTTTAAATCTGGTAAGATGGCATGCAGAAATTATAACATTAAAATATGAAACCGTAATTTATGAAATAAAGAACAATTATGATCTAAAGGGTATCAAAATTTACAAAAAAAAAAAAAAAAACCTTAATATTTATTTGTTTACTTTATTAGACATTTCTTTCAATGTAAGATGTTTAAGTTGCTTTGTTTTATGTGATAATACTTTCTCTTTAATTCTATAAACAGACATAATTTCCTGTTCAGTTACAAAGTTCCGCTGTTCAAGTTCTATAATTGCTGTGTCGAAAATACCGACTAATTTGTCAATCGAATTTTTTTTAGCTTTAGTTTTCCATATGCAAATTTTGATCAGCGGTAAGATAACGTGGTTGCCGCTGATTGGTCGATGACGTCAAGATCGGCCGAGTATTATATATATGTACGCCGGTATCGGCGAATGTCTTATTCTCTTGGTATTATGAGTTAGCATTATGCTAGTTTTTCTTTCAATCAAATGATTTTAAATGTAAAGGCTACAGTTTACTCTTTATTTTATTTACAGCTCTTTTATTTTATTTATGGAATAAAGCATGCATTTTATTTAGATTAGTCTTAGCTTTATTTAAGGGAAGCAAAATATACTTTGCCTTTATCACCACTGCCAACAGGGTTATGGGCCCAGCGCCAACAGCTAATCGGTCATCCAGTTCAACTCAGCATTGTAGGAATGTAGGTGAAGAGGGCCGTTATCCGCGAAAAGAAGCTGACCTGTCTTAGAAGTTTGTTCAAGTCGTTGTGCTCACACTTAATTGAAGAAGGTCATTACTACCTGAAAGTTTTGAGCTGTTAAACCATGACAACTGGGATCGATGGAAAGTCGACATGAAAATGCTGTTATTGGATAGAAATTGTTGGAGCTTCATAGAGGACAAAGAAGAAGAATTAGATAAAAGTGCAACAAGACGTGAAAAGCAGGAGTTCAAACTGAGAGAGAACAGAACCTTCACTACATTATATTACGGAAATAAAACTGAGTTCAGGCCAGCTGATACAAGAATGTTCAAGTGGTAAGGAAGCATGGGAAGTTCTACAGAAGCAATTCGAACCCAAAACAAGACCAAGGATAATTCAGTTACTGGATGAATTTTTTAGTATTAGATATACTCCAAATGAAGAAATAGGATTATTCATCGCCAGGATAAGAATGACTGCAAAGAAGTTGGCTGAAGCTGGTCACAACTTGGCAGATCTTTTTAAAAGATTCCAGGCAATAAGAAGATTACCCCAGGAATACTCCGGCATTGTACAGTTGATTTATAGGTGGAAGGACGAACATTTTGTGCTGGAAAGAATTGCTGAAGAGCTGGTAAGAGAAGAAAGCCGACTTCGCCAGGTAAACGCCGATTTAGAAGACAGCAAGGTAAGCGTGTTTAATACTATTGATTCAAATGCAGGGAAAGATAAAGTTGAAAATAAAACTAAATCTAAGAAAAAGATGGGGAATATGAGAATAGGACCTTGTTTCAGATGTCATAAATTTGGGCACTTAATCGCTCAATGTAAAGAAAATGTAACTAAAAATCAGAAGTTTAAAATAGACGATAAAAATGGACAGTTTAAAGATAAAGAATTAATGTTAGTAGAAAATTATGTAACAACTACAGATAAAGGAGGTAATGCAGATAAATTTAATTGGGTCGTAGATACTGCAGCTACAACTTATTTCTGTAATAGAAATTTAATGACAAATTTTGAAGAAATAAACGATATACGTATGTCTTTAGCTATAGGAAATTGTGAAAGTAAAGTACTAGGAAAGGGTACCGTCAAATTTGCAGTAAAAGTAGGCAATCGGATAAATTGGATTGAGTTAGATAATGTGTTATATAATCCAAATCTAAGAAGAAATTTATTATTGGGAGCAAGGTTAGAAAAGGCAGGTGCTCATTTTGTAATTTCAAAAGGGAAAATGTGGATATACTTTAATAATTGGGATAGATTATGCTACGCTAAACGATATGACGGACTTTATCACGTAAAACCATTTAGATATGCAACAGGTAAAAGGGAAGCTGGTTACGGTACAGAAATTGGAAAGTTAAATAAAGTAGACGATGCAATGCTGTGGCATCGGAGATTTAGCCACGTAAATTTTGATTATATTAAGAAAACTAGTAAGAATCAAAGCGTGAAAGGGTTAACAGAAATTGAAAAACCAATGGAGAGGTTCGAACCGTGTATTATTGCTAAATCTAGTAGAATAACTTTTAAAACTGTTCCGAAAAGATCGGATAAACCATTGCAGTTGGTTTATTTAGACGTTTGTGGCCCACTACCAGTTCCATCTAAGGGTGGGAGTAAATATTTTCTTGCTATTGTAGATGACTATAGTAGATTAGTAACAGTGTATTGTATGAAAAATAAAAATGAATCGTTCTACAACTTTAAGAATTATCATAGGCAAATGGAAAGACTGACGAATAGAAAATTAATAAGTATACGCACCGATAACGGTGGGGAATTCTGTAACAGGCAATTCGAAGGGTACTTAGCCGAAAATGGAATTAGTGTTGAACGCACAAACGCGTACACCCCAGAAGAGAACGGTGTGTGTGAACGTTTTAACCGAACGGCATTAGATGCAGTTAAAGCTATGCTTAATGATGGTAAAATGGGAAAAGAATGGTGGGCAGAAGCTCTTGGCTGTTTCGTACATACGTGGAACAGAGTATGTCATAAAAGCAACCGAACCCCTTATGAAATGTTCCTAAATAGAAAACCCAGTGTTGTTTATTTTAAAATATTTGGTTGTAAAGCCTATGTTGGCGTGCCAAAACAGATTAGAAATAAATTACAAATGAGGTGCAAAGAAGGAATCATGGTAGGATATGCGAAGGAAACTAGGGCTTATAGGCTGCCAAAAGAACGCAGATTAATAGAAACCTGTAATGTGAAGTTCGATGAAAAACTGTAATGCAGCAAATGGCATCCTGGAACAGAAATCAAAAACCTAAATTTAAAAGACTAGAGGAATCTGAGCTATTAGCAGAATCAGATGAAGAACAGGAAATTTCTAGAGAAGAAATAAAGTTGTCAGATGACAAATCTACTCCGAAAGAAGTATCAGACTTAAACTGGCAAAGAAAAGCAGTTAAAAGGCCAGATGGAACACGTACAGACATATATTATTATGTAGAGGGAACAGACACCGTTTTAGATCCTTATAATGATATTGAAAGTATTGTGAGGCAAGAAATATTAAATTTGAAAAAGATAAGTTTGATTTTAGTGGAAAAAACGAATACTCGGGGAAAGTAAATTTCGTAGAACAGGAGACTAGCTCCGTGTCTGAAGAGGCAAATTCCATAGAAATAATTATCCCACAAAATTTTAAAGAAGCACGAAAATCAGTAAATGCCGAAGAACGGGATAAGGCAATGAAAGAAGAAATTGACACAATAAAGAAAAGAAAGGTTTGGGAATTAATCGAAAAGCCAGAAAATAAAACTATGATAGGAAACAAATGGGTCTATATGCTAAAAAGAAATGAAAAGAATCAAGTGGTTAGATACAAAGCACGTTTAGTAGCACAGGGATTCAGGCAGAAAAGAGGTGAAGATTTTGATGACGTTTACAGTCCTGTAGTAAATTTTTCAATCATAAGAATATTTTTCACTATCCTGGTGTGTTATATGGATGGACTAATTGTCAGTTAGATGTAAAAAACGCATATTTATATGCAAACCTAAATGAGAAAATATATATGACCCAACCAGAGGGATTTATCGAAGAGGAAAATAAAGTGTGTTTATTACACAAGGCCATTTACAGTTACGGTCTACATCAAAGCGGCCGTGAATGGTTTTGTGAATTTGAAAGTACTTTAGAAAATCTACATTTTAAGAAAATACAATGGTGTAATTGTGTTTATAAGAGTTCAAATGTAATTCTCTTGTTATATGTAGATGATATTGTGATTTTTAGTAAAGATCAATATAAGTATAGATAAAGTAATTTCACAGCTGAGTAAGTTTTTTTGATCTTAAAGTATTAGGCAAAACTAAAACGTTACTTGGAATTGAATTCTTAGAGAATGAGAATGGGGTTTTTTATACATCAGCAAAAAATATATCGAAGAAATTTTTGAAAAATTTAAACATTTCCAGATACCAATAACTTCACTTCCCATAGCTAAAGGCACTATTCTTACAAATTAGATTGTCCATCTACAAGTGCAGAATTGCGGAAATGCATACATTACCCTTTAGAAATCTGTTAGGATGTTTAGTTTTTGTAGCTAACAGGACAAGGCCTGATATTACATATGCAGTGAATATCTTATCACAATTTCAGGAGAATCCTGGAATTAGGCATTGGGAAGCATTGTTGAAATTGCTTGGTTATCTCAATAGTACTAAATTATATAAGTTAAACTTATCGAAGATTAAACATCTAAATTTATATTGTTATAGTCAGATGCTGATTATGCAAGTAATAGAGATGACCGCATGTCCATGGGAGGATTTATATTATATTTAGATGAAGTACCGGTAATCTGGAAAACTGTTAAACAAAAATGTGTAAGTTTATCAACCATGGAAGCGGAGTATATCGCCTTATCTGAAGCAGCGAAGGAATTAATGTGGACGAAAAATGTCTTACAAGATGAAATTTTAAAGTTTAATTTAAGAGAGTGTAAACTATTTTGTGATAACAAGTCTGCCATTGATTTTTCTAGATCGCCAATAGAAAATCGCCGAACTAAGCATATAGACATAAAATATCACTTTGTTAGAAGACTAGTAAATGATGGAGTGTTTGACCTTGAATTTATCACCAGTAAATTAAATACTGCCGACTTATTTACAAAAGCAGCGACTGCTGTTAATTTAAGAAAGTTTTGTTTAGATGTTTTCAGTGTTTAAAGACAATAAGTGTTTTCGTTTAACAGAATTGAACTATGAACTTCTGTGTAAGTTTTTTTTTTTTTTTTTTTTTTTTGTCTTTGCATGAGGAAAAGAGGGTCGTTTGTTGGCTTTAGTTTTCCACATGCAAATTTTGATTGGAGGTCAATCGGCGGTAAAATAACGTGGTTGCCGCTGATTGGCCGATGACGTCAAGATCGGCGGGTTGGCCAAATATTATGTATATGTACGCCGGTATTGGCGAATGTCTTGTTCTCTCTTGGTATTATGAGTTAGCATTATGCTAGTTTTTCTTTCAATCAAATGATTTTAAATGTAAAGGCTACAGTGTTAGCTCTTTTATTTTATTTACGGAATAAAGCATGCATTTTATTTAGATTAGTCTTAGCTTTATTTAAGGAAAGCAAAATATGCTTTGCCTTTATCACCACTGCCAACAATCTTTTCGTTTTCAATAACCTCTGTGTCACTTTCTTCACTATCCGAAGCGAATTATAATGATGAGGAATTTGATTTAAATCATATGAAAGACGGAGTACATCGAGATGATATACTACATTTAGTAAGGAATTATAAGCCAAATAAAATAAAAACATCTGCCCTGAAGATAAGGATAGTGCTGACAGATTAACTTCCAATTCATTGTGCGCCGTGGCGTCCCCCCCCCCTCAACCCGCCGCAGAGCAGCGTGAAATTGATAAACAGATTTCGGAATGGTTAGAAAAACAAAGGATATGCCTTTATCCATTTTTTACAGCAATTCCACTTTTTGTTTGATGGACATCGAAGCATGCTTTCGCTCTTGTAAGATCCTTTTGGCAGCTCCTAGAATTCGGAAACTCTTACTTAGACATAATCGAAAGTTCAAATTTTAATTTTCATAAAATTGATGTAATAATAGCAGTCTGGCAAAAAATAATAAGCTGGTTCCAATTCAGAAAGATTAAGGAACAACGCAATGTGCAACATTAACTGAAATAGATAATTTTAGCTTAGCTTATACCGACCGTTATACATTAAACGTGCATGTGTAAACGTATTACGCGCATGCGCACAGAGCATGTTTGCAGCCCTAAAGGTCTTACGTCAATGCGACGCATGCGCAGAAAGTTTGTAGCTTTGAGGTCCAGATTATAGATCATTCCCGATTATGGGTGTCCGAATTAACGACTTTTGACTGTATTGCTAATTAAATTAGCATGTCCAGCTGGAAATCTGGAAGATCTGTGGTTTGAATTCTGACAGGAGCACAGTTAATTTTTCATGTTTCCTGGCCTGAAATGTCTAATGGTATATATAGTGATGCTGGTGTTAAAATGTAGTGGAGAGTAAGTCATCATCACCTAGATTTGGTCGATTAGGTCTCATGCTTCTCCCCAATCATCTGTTATGTAGAAGAATTCAT